CATTTCTTTGTAAATGAGACCACATTATGATTTAGTTTCAGGACAAAATTAAACCTGGATTTATAATCACTAATAGTAACATTTTTTATTTTAAAAAATTATTTATTTTTAACATTCTTTTAAAAAATTGGACTTTTTATATGTCACATTGTGTTATCTTAATGGGAAATCTGATTTTACTTAGGTTTGTTATTTTATCTGGGAATAAAACTTGTATGTTTAAAATAATAAACCTAAGTAAAATTGGATTTCCCATTTAGGTAACACAAGAAAGTTCATAAATTACTCTCCACTAAGATAACTGATTGTAGAGATAACCTGATTGTAAGACAACCTGTGTATAGTACATGTAGGGCAGCTAAGTGGTACAGTGGATAAAGTGCCAGGCCCGGAGTCAAGAAGTGCCAGTTCAAATCAGGCCTCACACATCTAGCTGTGTGACTTTGGGCAAGTCACTTAACCCTGTTTGCCTCAGTTTCCTCATTTGTAAAATGACCTGGAGAAAGAAATGGCAAACTACTCCAGTGTTTCTGCCAAGAAAACCCAAATGAGGTCATAAACAGTTGGGCATGACTGAAAAACAACTGAATTTTAAAGCATGTGCTGAAATGATGACAAACTAGCATATCCTGAAATACATGTAAACTACTCAAGGGTTATCCTAAAGATGTTCCCATTGTTTAAAGGACTTCTAAAAATGTGTAAAATCTTAAGTATAGTTAACAACTGAACATATTTTGCTAAAGACAATTCATTTTGCATAAATTGTTTTCTAAAGACAATTTGGGATTAATTATTTAGCATATTTACATATCACATCCCAAGTCTTTTGTTATTTGTTACATTTAGAGTTGAATAAACATCTTTTAAACAATTTCATTTGGGTAATGTTGAACCTAGGGATAAAAAACATCTACTTACAATGAGTGCTAGTAGCTATATATTCATGTATAGGATTAGATAATTAAAGTTTCTCCTCTTCCTACAAGGTGAATTAGGAGGAGTGAAAAAAATTTGAGAAAGTAACAAGACCAGATGATTATGTGTACAGGCATTGAATATGTTATGATAATAAGTTCTAAAAATTGGGTTCAGGATTCTACATATAAAATTACATTGATGATTGTAAAGAAGAAAGATAAAATCAGAGAGGTATGTAATAACTGAAATTCTCTGAAGTTTCAAGTGAACTATAGGTTCCTAACTTATGTTCTTCTTATAGCTCTGTTGTCAATAGGATTAGAATCACAAGACTTGAGCTGGTTTTTACCACATGACCTAGTTGCTGGAAAAAGCAAATTTAAGAGAGTATACTAAATCGTAGAATTTAGTAGAATTACTGACTCTGCAAGTGTCCTGGGTCCAGAGAAGAAAATCCACTGGAAAGATACCACTTTAGAGCTGCCCTAAGAATAAGACCTATTCTGAAATGTCCAAGGGATGATATTTCCAGGGACCAGAAGACTACATGGGACATCTGAGACTCAAGATGAAATGTGCTGATTGATTGAACATTGGGAGTGGGTTGCCAAGTTACAGAAGAATTGAGGTTATTTAATATTGATGGTCATTATTGTATTACTTTGGTCTTTTGTTTCATGGTATTTATATCTACTGAGTTTTCTTGGGGACTTTATTGATGTGTAAATCTCCCCCCTAAAATTAGTATATGGCTTGAACTACAACATGTCTTAGTGCTGCTGCACTGGTGCTATGGGGTTGATTTCTGTATTTTGCATCTCCAATGCTCTGGGAGGAGTTTGGTGTGGCACTGAGCTGTTCTACAATCCTTCAGAGATCATTTGCAGCACAGAATGTTGCCACTATTTTTACAGCGGAATAAAGAAACCAAGTAGTTACATTCAGAGAATAATTTATTTAGCAGTGTATGCTGTTGCCGAAACAAACTAGAACCTCTAAAAGTTGTGCCATCATTTACTTCATGATATGAACAAACAATAAAGCATTGATGAAGTGCTTATTACGTACAAAAGCACATACAAAACAAGGGAAAATGATGTAACACTTGATGAGACAGTGGATCCTCAGAATGTGAGGAGAACATGGAATCACCACACACTGTTTCTCATTTTAAAAGAGAAATGAGAATTGTGAGAGTAGAATATATGGCTTGAACAGCAAAATTAATGGACAAAATAGAGAAACTGGAACCAACAATGGGCAAGTTTCACCAAAGAGACAAAAGAGAGAACAATAGATCTGGAATGCAAATACACAGAAGTGAAGGACAATCTAGAAGAAGAGAAGCAAAAAAAAAAGTGCTAAAAGAAAATATACTTACTATGCAACATAAAAAGTTTGAAGACAGGACATGTGGAAACAACCTAAGAATCATCAATCTCCCATAAGAACATAATGAGACAAAAAACCTGAATACCAAATTCAAGAAATAACAGGGAACTGCCTAGAACTTCTGAACAGAAAATAAATACCAGTTGAAAGAATTCATAGATCAGCTCCAGGAAAACAAACAAGCAAACAAACAAACAAACCAAAGTGCATACTAAGCACATGGTTAAATTTAATAATTCAATTCAGAAACAAGTTTTGCAAGCAATCAGGAGAATGACCTTCAAATATGAAGGGGAGAAAATTCAAATAATGCAAAAATTTCCTGAACCCACCAGAAAACTCAGAAGAGAATGGAATAACATGTTTCAAAGAGCAATGGAACTCAGGATGCAACCTATAAAAATCTGAGCTTAATCATGAATGAAAAAAGATGGACATTCAATAATAAAAGAGGCACCTGAAACATTCTTAGAAAGGAGTAAAACTTTCTCTTGACATGAAAAAATGGGTATAGAAAGAAAAAAAAAGTACTGCATTTAGTTCACTCCTAAAATATTAATTACAGGAATTTTAGGTAGCATCTAATATCATTAAAAATAAACCATGTTGATAGTCATCTACTATATCCAGCAGCCATATATTTTGTAAGAAATTTAGACTCAGAATCGAAAATAATTTATAGGGCAAGGTAGCATTTACCTAATCAATTGAACTTCTTTCTGAAATACATTTTTTTTAATTCAGAAAAACATTTCTCATCACAAATGCTTCTAAGCTTTGTCCTTCTAGACTACATTCAAACTCTGGTCATGAGAGTACATATCACTGAATACAATGTCTCCATGAGGCAACAAGATATATTAAAACCAAGTCAAAAGGCATAAAAAAAATAGAAGATATATATGTATATATATATATATATATATGTGTGTGTGTATAAAGCATTGCACAGCAAAAACAAACTATCTAGATAACAGATCAAGGAGAAAGATGTAATAATCACTGGCCCATCTGATGGCCATGAACAACAACAAAAAAAAGAATCTAGATACCATATTTCAAGAAATCTTAGAAGAAAACTACCCAAAACTCTTAGAACCAGAAAGCAGGGTAGAAATAGAAAGCATCTACAAGTCACCTCCTAAAAGAAACCCCAAAATGAAAACTCCCAGGAACATTATAGCTAAAATCCAGAGCTTTCAGGTCAAAGAAAAAAATGCCAGAAAGAAATTGCCATAGTCAGGATCATGCATTTAGTAATAATAATACCTAACATTTATATAGTACTTACTATGTGCCAGGCACCGTGCTAAGTGCTTTACAGTTATCTCATTTGATCCTCAAAATAACCTTTCGAGGTAGAAGCTATTATTATCCCCATTTTATAGTTGAGGAAACTGAGGTAAACAGGGATTAAATGACTTGCCCAGGGTCACACAGCTAGTAAGTATCTAAGGCTGGACTTGATTTCAGGTCCTTCTGACGATCTTAAGAATAAAAAGAGAGGGAAAGAGTAATGCACTGTGGGGAGAAGGAAGAGGGAACAGTGGAGAAGGGAAAGTATTACACATAGGGAAGGAGAGGAAAGGGGTGAAAAAGGGAGGGGGAATTAGAGGTAGGGTAAATTAAGGGAGGGATTAATCCTAAACAAAATAAATTCTAAGGATGTACAAAATATTTATAGCTCTTTTTGTGGTGGTAAAGAATGGAAATCTGAGGGAGTATCCATAAATTTAGGAATGGATGAACAAATTATGGTATATGAACATAATAGAATATTATCATGTTGAACTCTGATTAGCATAATGAACAACCAGGATTCCAGAGAACTAATGTGAAAACTTGCTACCTACCTCCTATTAAGAGAGGTAAAGGACTCAGATATAAAATGAGAGAAATATTTCTAAGTATACAGCCAAGTTGAAAATTTATTTTGATTGGCTATATATGTATATAATGGGTTTTGTTTTTCTTAGGTTCTCAATGGTTGAGATGTTTTCAAAGGGTTGGGATGGGAAGTTAAGAAAGTAGATCTTGGCTGATTTAAATGAAACATATATATATAATATATGTTATATGCACATTATATATATATAATATGTATATCTGTATAGCTACATGTATATATACACAGGTATGTATACTTTATATATATTTATATATAATATTTACAAAGAAATACATATTTATTTATATATTGATATATGTATATATGTATATGTGTAAGAAAATGTTTCCTTTGTGAATATATATACATATATATGTATACATGCATACACATATACACATGTATTTGTATATATACATATACATACACACAGAAAGAAAACCTGGGAACTCTGATCAACACAATGACCAACCCAAATTCCTTAGGACTCATGATGAAACATGCTATCCACCTTCTAACAGAGATGAGAGACTCAAACTGTAGATTGAGATTTTTTTTTTTTAGAAATGGCCAATGAGAAATTTTGTTTTACTTGACTCTACATGCCTGTAACTGGGGTTTTGTTTTTCTTGCTTTCTCATATGGTAGGGAAGGGGAGAGTAGAAGGAAGGGGGAAGGAGAGACAAATGATCTTTGTTTGAAAATAATATAAAATTTAAATTAAAAAAAATTACTTTTTCTTCTATGCTCAAGGTACTCAAGGATGATGTATGGGTCTTGAGAAGTGAATGATTCCTACCTGCAATGACCCCCAGCAGCAACAATGCAGAACGTACACCTGAATCCATAGTCTTTCTGTGCCACACAGACAACTTGCCCGTTGTTTTCTGACTCCTGACCTTGGGAGAGTACGCAGTAGCTGGTTTCCTTTAACGATGCTTAATATATAATTCTGGCCCCAAATGACTGTAAAGACAAAGAACAGACAAGAAAGAAATAGAGTAATTGAAAAGTATGTTAAGTTCTCTCTCAGTTATCCCCTCTGTACAAAAGCTATCTGCTTGGATCATAGCTTGGTGCAGTAGAAGGAACGCTCAACTTAATTAAAAGACCTGGTTCCAAGTTTTGGTTCAGGTATTTAGTATCTTGTTACCTTGAGCAACGTATTTCAGAGCAGGGGTGAGCCTACAGCTCTATCACTCTGACCCTGGATCAGGATGTGGGTTTTAGTTCACAGACCTGGGCTGGGGCCTAAAGACAACCAGGGAAAGAAACTTAGACCCATAATGAGACTAGACTTATATTGTTCTGAACCAGCAGAATCTTCTAGCTAGTTGTCAGGGGCTAAGACCAGTATCTGTTTACAGGAACTCCATACAGGAACAAGCCTACAATTGTGTTGCCCATACCCAAACAAGAGCCTGGAACTTGCAAAGACCATACCAGGAGGGGAGCAATCAGATTGCTCTCTGGATCATATTGCTTAGGGTGTGCTGAAAGTTTCTGGCTCTCTCGCCTCACCCACTCCATGAGCTCCTTGAAGAACAGAGCACTTAATACTCAGAGAAAACAGTAACATATCCTATATAAGATAGAGAAGAACCAAACAGGGCCTCAGCATTCCTATCAAAACTACACAAAGTTTGGCCTTAACATAAATTCCCAATTTGGGAAGTAAAGCTTCAAGAATGAGTAAAAAAAGATATTGATGATAAAGAGCAATTATGAAACCAGGGACACTCAAGATACCAACCTAAAAGGAGAAAGCAACTGTAATTCTACAAGCAAAACTTCAGAGGAAAACACAGCTTGGCCACAAAGTTGACTAGAATTTCTAGAAGAAATGATATGAGTTTTAAAATATTATAAATGAGAGTTCTAGAGGAAAAACTTGGAAGGAGAAACAGATTAGTAATACAGCTGGTAAAACCTCTCTCAAGTAACAGACTCCCTGAAAATTAGAATGGAGCAATGGAAAGTTAATGTTTCCATGAGACAACAAGAAATATTAAAACAAAGTTAAAAGATAGAAAATATAGAAGAAAAAATGTAAGTTATCTCATATCAAAAAACAACTGACCTCAGAAACAGGTCAAAGAGAAAAAATACAGGAGTCACTGAACTACCTGAAAGCCATAACCAAAACCAAAACAAAACAAAACAAAACAAAACTATGAAAACTGCCCAGATCTCTTTAGAACCAGAGGGCAAAGTGAAAACAGAAGGGATTCATTGGTAATCTCCTAAAAGAGACTTCAAAATAAAAATTCCTAGGAATATCATAACCAACATTTAGAGTTATTAGAACAAATTAAAAAATACTACAAACAACCAGAAAGAAAAGATTACAAGTGCCAGGGAGTTATAGTGAGAATCACACAAGATTTGGCAGCTACCAAATATTTTTATATAAAAAAAGAGAGCTTGGAATACATTATTCCAAAAGGCAAAATATATAGATTTACAATGAACAATAACTTACTCAGAAAAACTGAGTATAATCCTACAGAAGAAAAATTAGACCTTTAACAAAATAGAGGACTTCCAAGCATTTCTAAGGAAAAGCCCAGAGCTAAGAAGAAACTTCAAAAACCAAACAAAGGAATTAAAGGAAACATAAGGTAAATGCAACTGAGCAACCAGAAAGAATTATACAAGCATGAAGCTTACCTCTAACAGGGAGAGAGGAAACAACTGTCCCCTCAGAACACTAATTTCATCAGGGATCAAAGAGGGAGTTAAATAAGCCAGGGAATATAGGAGTAGTTTTGTTATATTTTGATACTCTTAAAAGAAGAAACAAAAGGGAAGAAAAGGAAGGGGAACTTGTCACATAGCAGCCAAAATGATTTTCCTAAAGCATAGGTCTGATCATGACATTTCCCAGCTCTATGAATTGCAGTGGCTCCTGTTACTGCTAGAATCAAATAAAACTCCTATTTGCCATTTAAAGTCCTTCACAACCTGGTTCCAAACTGTTTTTGTAGCCTTACTGTACACTACTCCCATTGCCACACTCCACAGATCAGTCAAACTAGCCCTCCAACTATTCTTCACAAAAGATAATTCTCCCATCTCTATGCTTTTGCATTGGCTGTTCACCATACCTTGAATGCACTTGTCTCTTCACTTCTACCTCTGAGAAACCCTAGTTTCCTTTAAGACTCAGCTAAAGCATAACCTTCTACATGAAGTCTTTCCCAATAGCCCCAGCCTCTAGTACCAATCTTCCCAAATTACTGTGTATTTAATTTTGTTATATCATGTATGTGATTATTGCCATCCATTCTGCTGGGAGATTAACTCTTTCAGCTCTGAAACTCCCACCATGAGCTCCCAGCTACCCTTATTGATGGGTATCATGTGTTCTACTATATTTGGCTGACCCCAGTCCATTTTCACACTCCGCTCCAGTCATCTTCTTGCCATCTGCCCTGTCACCAGGCACATCTTCATCTTAGTCCCCTTTTCCCTATTTTCCTTATCTGGAATAGTATTTAAATCCATGTTACCATTGCTACTAGAAAGGGACTGCCAATTAACTTCCTTATATTACTCATCATCCCTAAGACTTTCAAAACTACATCACCCTTTCCAGGCCATCACCATCCTATACATGTTATCTCCCTTTACTGGAACATAATCTCCTTGAGGGAAGGAACTAGATTTGGTTTTATGTTGGTATTCCTAGCAGTGTTTGGTAAGTGCTTAAGAAATTGTCTCTCTTGATAAAATGAAAAATCTTTGAGGGTGGGAACTACGTTAAATTTGTCTTTGAATCCCCAGTGTCTAGAATATTCTTGACATATAGTAGGTACTTGAATCACAGATCCATGAGTATTTGAAATATTGGCCTATTTGGCTTTAACGTATGCACTTAGCTAAATCCTGAATTCATGAAACAAGCCACAGGAAGAAAAATATGTATCTAAAAAATATATGAGGAGAGAGATACAATACATATGTAATTGTATGTAGAATTCTAGATTCAAATTTTGAAAAAAAATGCAAATATTTTACTATGAAGTATTTATTTGGCAAGTGCTATTGATAACAAAAAAAACCTCCAAAAATCTTTGCCCTTTTTCTTCAAAGTTGTATATACCAATATTTTCTCTACATAGCTCTTCACCGGTTACGGTTGGCAAAGTGCTAAATTGTCAAACTTAAAGATATTATGTATTTTTCTTTTACAAAAAAGACAAATATCTCAAATTTATTGACCTTTTCTGTGATGACAAATGGCTGTCAGTAGTAAGCTAACTAGCAGATTAAAAATCACACACATTTAATATGTCTCTTCAGGGTCAGTCAATAAATATTTATTGCGCACTTACTATATGCCAGGCATTGGTAAAGGTGACTTTAAACTTTTTATTTTTATAAATTTCCCAACATTCACTTCTTCTGCCCCCAACACTTCAGAGGCATACCTTACAACAAAGAATAAAAAAGAAAGAGATTAAAAAAAAGTGGCTCAGGAAAACTAACCAACAATCAATCAAGTTCAATACTATATTCAAATAAACACCTCTATAAAGAAGAGAGGGAAGTGTATTCTTATCTCCCTTCTTCAGGGCCAAATTTGATCACTATAATTACACAGAGGTTTCAATTTTATTGTTATTGTTGTCATGCTTTCCACTTACATTTTTATAGTCAGTGTGCATATTGTTTTCCTAGTTCTGCATACTTCACTTCGAATCAGTTCCTAAAGTAGATACCTTTCCCTACCTGTATTCTTAATATTCATTGTTTCTTATGACTAAATTACATTCACATAATACAGTCTGTCAGTCATTATCCAATGGATGGGCATCTGATTTTTTTTTTTCAGTTCTTTGCTACTCCAAGAAGTGCTGTTATAAATATTTTAATGTATACTCAACATTCCTATCTTTGATCTCCTTGGGATATATGACCAGCAATATAATCTCTGGATCAAAGGGTATTGTCAATTTGGTCATTATCTCAATATAATTCCAGATTGTTTTCCAGAATACAGATACCAGTTCATAGCACCAACAGTGTATTTGAATGCCTATTTTTCATAACTTTTCACACACTGACTAGTCCCATTTTTTTGTCATCTTTGCCAATTTTCTGGGTGTAAGGTGAAATCTAAAAGTTGTCTTGATATGATTCTTCTTATTAGTGATTTGGGACAATGTTATGATATGATTGTGATAATTTGCAATTCTTCCTTTAAGAATGATTTGTCTCTCTACCACATGTCTATTGGGATATGGCTTTTGGTTTTATATATTTATGTTAGTTTCATACATGTATTGGATATCAGACAAAGGGACATTTTAACAATCAGTGAAGAAATAAATGCTTTTTGGAAGATATCTGTGATATGGAGAGACATTTTGAAAATGGATATACCAGAATATTTACAGTAGTCTTTGTTGTGATAGCAAAGAATTGGAAACAAGATATATGACTATCGATTGGGCAATAGCAAAGAAAAAAATGTGGTACATGAATGTAATGGAATATTATTGTGCTGTAAGAAATAACAAATGTGATAAATACAGGAAAGCATTGAAAGATTTATATGAAGTGATGCAGAGTGAAATAAGCAGAGCCAAAAATAATATACACAATCCATATAAAGTATAGATGTTTGGAAATGTCTGTTGTTATAAGATTTTGCAGCTGAAAACATGTTACATATAAAACTCATAGCCACACTTAAATTTGGAAACAAAATTTTCTAACCTGTTAAAAATCTTACAGATGAGGAGTTTTGGTGAGTTTTGAATGCATTTGTTAGAAATCTAAAAAATACCTTCAAATTAGTTTGTAAGAATAATGGGTTGATGTCAAGAATGATAGAAATTTTTTAGCCAGATTTCAACAAAATCTTTTGCATAACTGTTGGATGGAATTAAAAAAACTATTATCATAATCTAGCAAGTGCAGCCAATCAAATGCTTCTTCTGTTTGGAGCTACATATATT